ATTAATTAACACTTTGTTTATGACAGCTTATCTAATTGCTGATATTTCCTGGAATGTCATTAGATTAAAATTCCGCAGAAAAAAAAATAATATCAGATTTTGTATTCCTTTCATGTCTTCTCAGCTTGAAGATTTTAAAAAAATACCATTTCAATGAATTTAGTGCAAGTAAATGACAATCATCTGCACATGAATACATTCGGACTATGAAGTAATAAATATCTGAATTTTTTTTTAATAAAAGCAGCTAAAAGCTAGAAAAATTAAATTATCTAAAATAAATGGAAAATAATAAATAGCGAATTGAAATATAAAATCCAATACAGAATTAGTTTCAAATCTTTTCTATCAATTGTTCAATATAAAAAAAAATATATATATGTCATTGCATGTGCTCTGTGCCATATCAATGCTGTACCTATTTAATATTTGCTAATGGATAACATTTCAAGCATTTCTATAGCTACAACAATAAGTCATTGTCTGTTACCTATGGTGTTTCTATCTAAGCGGATGGGAATGAAATAAAAATTTCCAGACAACTTCTGGTTGCATATTGGACACAACAGGTATTCATGTAATAAGCAATATATTAAAGAGTTAGAAACAAAATAAAAATAAAATCCAGGTAATGTTTATTTTATATATATTTTATAGGGTCCATCGAAGGTAAAAGCTATTCAACCCGGTGTATCTAACTTTTTGCCTGAAAATTCCCCAGAAGAACGGTACAGCGAGAGTCCAAATAGTAGCACTAGTGCTTCTGAAAACGGAAGCATATCATCACAGTTGTCAACAATGCGTGTACCAGCCAAAGTGGAAAAAGATTCCCAAAAAAGTGAAAAGACTCAAATTTATCATGCATTGGTCAGAGATTATAAGGTCAATTCCAGAAATGTGATCAAATCGGCTAGTAAACGAATAAATGGTACAGTTACTGAAAATCATTATAAAAAAGAAACAAGGTCAACTAAGGAAGGTCAGCAATATTCGGTGTATGAAAGCCCAGTTGCTCAACATAGTGTCTTAATATCTCAGACAGTTGTACCAGATTCTGCTGATTTGTCGAACATTACAAATAAAGGCTCGTTAGAAACAAATGACAAAGTTGTGGAGAGCTTACCTAGTGTTTATCATCCCCTAGAGGTGGAAAGAGGTGGCATTTTAGAAGATATGCCGATAGAAATGAAAAGTAAGGTAGGGCAAAATAAAAGAAGTTCAAACGGTGATAGTTCTCAGGGGGAATATTACATGATTATGGCAAAATCACCAGAACCAGAACATTCCTCATCTGAGTCTTGAAGTAAACGGATATGCACTGGAATTGATATATCACAGTATATAAATTTTCAACTTCTAGAGAGACCAAGTTTGACGAAGAACTGCGAACGAAGGAATTCTGCCGCCTAGGTCAAAGTCAATTTTCAAAAGTAGACATTTTAAATGATTTTTCATATTTTAAAAATTTTTATGTGAATTTTCATAGAACAATTTATATGGAAAAGCAAACAGATATATATATATATATATATATATATATATATATATATATATATATATATATATATATATATATATATATATATATATATATATATATATATATATATATACACCAGAACGAATGTGTATCTTTATATACTATACGTCTGAAATACTTAACAACTAGTTTTTTGGTACCTTATGCATGACTCTTCCGTTGTATTGTCGTATAGCATTGTCATATTAAACAAAGAAATGAAATCTTTCTTACATAAAAATAAGATAGTTATACATTTCAAAATGTACAATTAATCTCAATATGGTCTCTTGGATTAAAAGCAAACATATTAAAATCCAAGTAAAAAGAATTCATATAATCTTAGCTTCTATGTTACTTGTGGTGAAAGAATTGTATGCACGATTAAAGAGAGTATTTAATCATCTTAGACAACTCTCAAACTATCTTTTCGGTAATATACAGTCTATTTTTGTAATACAATTAAGCCCTCTTCTAGATCTTATAGATGGATTAATTGTATTTCGAACATGGCTTAAGGATTAGTTCTTTCCAAACATTTTCGTATCACAAAATGAAAGCTGCTTTGCCACTATGATAACACTGATACATGTTTATGCCGTAAACATCAAAAGACCAAAGATGAATTTGATGTTTTTCAAGACCACCAAACAAGATGTACAAAGTTTACAAAGGAAAATTGTTACTAGATGTCAATTAATAACTAGCACCCAATGAAATATTGAGATAACAAACAGTTTTCAAACTCAAAAGTCCATTGAAACAATACAGATCAGGAGCAAAGCAGTCACACACCTCTAAAACATCAGGTGGAATCAGATGCCATGGAGGAGTGAGTATCCCCTGCGAACCGATCACATCCGCTGTGTGCTCCTTGTCATGACCGGAAACAAAAACTGAAAAATTAATATGTATTACTAACGTCAGTCAGCATTTGACTTAATGATAGATTATATTTGCTGACAAGGTCACTCTATCGACCATAGAACCTGCAAAAATGTTGACCTTAAACAAGACTTTTGAGATTCTTGTTTCATCAACTTGTTTGTCAATAGCTTGTATTTTCACAACCAAATTCGTACACAATAATCAGATGCATTCAAGCATATAAATGTTGTGAATGTTACATTTGAGCAAGTATTACTATAGTATGTTGCGGGGATTTCAGGAATGTTTAGTATAAAAACATAGAGAGATCTCACATAGGATCCTTCTGAAGAAGACATCAAGAATTTTGATGTACAAACACATTTTTATGATAAAACTTGTTTGATAATGACTTGGATTTAACTTAAAGTTTTTGCGTTGTTCTTATTTAACACAAGAAATGAGTACCAGAAGGCATCTTTACAGATTAGCATTTTATTCTAGACTAAAGCATACAAACATATGTACAGAGTATTAAGTTTGGCAATGCAATATGATATTTCTGGGACTGAGTGCTGATCTCCAAACACATACTAAAGTTAATATAAACAGTTCACTGGATTGTTTATATGGCTATATAGTGTTGTTTATTGATACACTGAATGCGAGAACACAACATTTCCTCCCTTCTTATTTTATGTCCATCAGATAAAATAATATTCAATTTTAACCTTTAATTGAGAAAATATCTAAGAAGAAATAATTAGTAAAGATATACATCAAATAACTTTTACTACATTCCTTATCACTTACAAAACTAATGTGGTTGCAAAAGAAACTTCTGTTTCTACGCGCACTACAACCACTGCTAGTTATTGGCTGTTATGGGAATTATTATTACCTATACATTGTACGGTGCCATTCACAAATTTAATTTGACCACAGGCTTCCTGGTTCGCAACGGATATCGGCGCTCCTGTGGTGCAGTAATTATCGGCGGTAACTGATCAGACGTCTCGACTGCTTCAATGGTAGCTGCATCGGTTATTGGTATTACCACATCGGAATTCTGCTCAGGGTCGGCCTTGAACTCAGCATCTCGGATTTGGTCAGCGTATCGCTTCCAAATTCCCCCTGCTTGTGTTTTTTCTTCGTAGTTTAATGGTCGTTTGCGCTGAATAATTTCGCTGCTGGTCCATTTCTCCTTCCCGCGGTAATCCCTAAGGGCCACTTGTTGTCCAGTGTTGAACTCTCTTAATTTCTCTGCTTTGGTAGTGCTTGCAGTTTTCATTTGCTTATCATTAACAGTTCGTTCCAGGTCAGGTTTGATCAGGTTAAAACGGTATCTAAGCTTCCTCCCCCTGAATAATATCGCTTGCGTTTCGTTTGTTGTGGCGTGAGGCGTGTTACGGTACGTAAGAAGAAAATTTCCTAACTTCTTATGAATGTCCGCATTTTCCTTATCCATGGCTTTCATACCTGGTTTAAAAGTTTGAACAAAACGTTCCACCAGGCCATTTGTTGCAGGATGATAGGGTGCTGATTGGATATGGTTTATTCCGTAGCTTCATAAATTTCTGAAATTCTTCAGACACAAATTGTGGGCCATTATCGGAAACAAGCTGCTACGGTAATCCGTTTCTTGCAAAGATATTACGCAAAGTAATAATCGTTTTGGTTGACGTGGTAGTCTGCATAGAAATAACTTCTGGCCATTTTGAATGTGCGTCCACGACAATAAGAAACATGTGTCCTTAAATGGTCCTGCGAAAACAATGTGGATACGTTTTCACGGAGCTGACGGCCACACCCACGGATGTAAGGGTGCGGTTTTCGGATTGTGGCGTTTTTTCTGGCATCCAGAACAATTTTAACAAGCTTTTCGATTTCCAAATCGATTCCCGGCCACCAAACGTAACTTCTCGTCAGAAGTTTCATTCGCACGATTCCGGGGTGAGCTGAATTAAACATTGCAAGAACACTTTTCTGAAATCGTTGTAGAATTATAACTCAGCATCCCAACATGATGCAGCCTTGACTAACAGTCAATTCATTCCTTCTATTGATTTGGATCCTCATTTTCAGTCCAACCATTAACAATGAAATCGTAAACTTTTGACGAATTTTTGTCTCTGGACGTTTTCCTTCTAATTTCCTGGTGCGTAATACATGATATTTGTTCCATTTGACTGAGTGTAAACACATTTTCTACATCAGTTAAGTCTTCGGCCTCAAGTCCCTCCTTTTCCTGAGGAATTCTTGACAATCCATCTGCATTTGTGTGGCGTTTTGTATTGCGATATTCAATGTTGTACGTATTTCCACTTAAAAATATTGCATGTCTTTGCATTCGTGCAGCAGAGTTAACTGAAATTCCTTTCTTAGGGTTGAAAATTGACACTAACGGCTGATGATCAGTTATCAAGGTAAACCCGCGACGATACAGATAAGTGTGGAATTTCTTTACTCCAAACACAATACTAAGAGCGTCCTTGTCAATTTGACTGTAATTCCTCTCAGCTTTATTCAAAGCTTTTAAAACGAACTCGATCGGGTGCTCCGTCCCGTCCTTCATCACGTGCAACAACACTGCGCCTAATCCAAAAGGTGAGCATCACACGCTAACCTGATTGGTTTGCTCTGGAGTGTCCAACACAGCTTTAATTTTATCCTTGGTTTTGTGCAATCCTTGTTTGTCAATTAAATGACCACAGTATTCAATTTGGTCTTGGAAGAACTGACACTTGGATTTATTCGCTCTCAAGTTATATTCCTCCAGTCTCTGAAGAACATGGCGTAAATTTTCAAGATGGTCTACATCATTCCTACCCGTAATTACCATGTCATCCAAAATGCACTGTACTCCATTTAATCCTTGCAATATTGTGTCAATAGTGCGTTGCCATATTGCAGGTGCTGACCATACCCTGAATAAGAGTCGATTGTAACGGTACAATCCTCGATGTGTGTTGATCGTAAGAAATTTCTTTGATTCCTCTTCTACTTCAAGTTACGAATATGCGTTCTTCAGATCGATCTTTAAGAATTTCTGTTCACCTGCCAATGAAGCGAATATGTCCGCAATGCCAGGTAATGGGTATTGATCTATGTCAAGTTGCGGATTTATCGTAACTTTGAAATCTGCACAAATTCAGATATCTCCCGATCTCTTTACTATTGGTACTATTGGTGTGGCCCATTTACTTTTCGGAACTTTGGTAATGTTGTTCTCACTTTCAAGTCGTTCTAACTCTTTTTCAACTTTGGGTTTTAGAGCGTAAGCAAGCGATCTTGCTTTCACAAATACTGGTTGAGCGCCTTCCTTCATAATGAGGTTCGCCTTAATTCCATTGACGGATCCAGTTTCTATTGTAAACACGGCACTGTGTTTATCAAGAATTTTCTCCAATATCTGTGATAAACTCATAGATATCCAGTGTGACGTTAACGTTGTTCAGGGAATTCCAATCCAATGTGATTTTTCGCAGCCATTCACGCCTGAAAAGTATCGCTTTTTCCTCTGAAACAACATTCAGTTCTAACTTTTCCCCCTGATCTCTGTATAAACATCTACACGAACTACACCAAGAGGTTTGAGTTTTTCTCCTGAGTAAGTCATTAAAGTGACGCTTGTATCCTCGAGTTTTCTCCTGGGAAACAATTCCTCAAAAACTTTTTTCCGGAATAACGGAGACTGTGGAACCCGTGTCTAGTTCCATGTTGACATTTTTCCCGTCAATAGACAAATCCACTATTATTTCATTTCGCTTACCGGTATGTACAGTGTACAATCCTAAATCATTGTCTTCGTCTACTTCATGCACTTTCTTCGGAAATTTAAATGACTGGTCCTTCGCACGACATGCCGCTTTAATATGTCCTTTCATTTTACATCTGTGACATCTGCATTCTTCTGCTCTGTGGCCACTTTTGTTACATCGGTAACAATTCACAGGTTTCGGTTTTTCCAACTTTGCTTTCGATTTCTGGAATTTTAATTTGTTGATTCCAGACCCGCGACTTTTCCCTTGCAGTTCCAAGGCGTCTTTCGATGGGATTTCCATAGCGACCGCTATTTGAATTACTTTACCCAGGGTGAGCCCCTGCACGGGCAGTAATTTCTTCTGGGTTTGTTCATCTCTGAGTCCGCAAACAAATCGGTCTCTAAGAGTGTCATTTAGACCCTGAAAGTCACAATACTCAGAAAATTTCCTGATCTGTGCTACATATTCACTGACACTTTCGCCCTCTTTTAGCTCTCTTTTATGGAAAAAAAAATTCCGCAATTACCAAGGGTTTTGGCAATAGATTATCTTAAAGAACCTTGACAATTTCGTTAAAGCTCTTGTCTTTTGGTTTGTCTGGTGCTGTAAGATTCCTTAGTAAGTCTTTCCCCAAATTAAACTTAAGAGTGCAGGGACACGTTTGCCGCCCGTAATTCCATTAACTTCAAAGTACTGTTCTAAACGTTCCGTGTACGCTGTCCACGTATCAACTGTGTCATCAACTGTGTATCAACTGTGTCATCAAACGCCTCAATCTTCCCAATATATCCAGCCATTTTTAATCCTCGTCGCCAATTTTGCGTTGTTCTTATTTAACACAAGAAATGAGTACCAGAAGGCATCTTTAAAGATTTTATTTTATTCTAGACTAAAGCATACAAACATATGTACAGAGTATTAAGTCTGGCAATGCAATATGATATTCCTGGGACTGAGTGCTGATATCCGAACACATAGTGAAGTTAATATAAGATATGGTGTTTTTTCCATAATAGATATGCCATTGTATGAAAAAAAATATACAAACTGATGGAAAGCAAAAGTAAGAAATCCTAATTTCTCTGGATTGTTGTCCATGTAAATAATGCTTTGTTTTATGTGGAAGCTTAAAATTGCACTTTTTTATATTTTTTAACATTAATTCATGTACCTATATATCAAAATCATAAAAATTATGGTAAACATTAAAGGGTTTTTATCACGTCTCAAATTCTTTTTGATATGACAATGTTTACATGTTATTTAAATCATACATTTAATAATCTTTGCTAGGAAATTAATATTTTTGATGTTTCAGCGATTCAAAGTTTGAATTTCTCAATGTGCATATTTTGATCGCCGATGTTCGCGCCATTGCTCTGACGTCATAGGTGACAATCCTGGTCAAGCGAAGTAATTATGGTGTATACAAAATGGCTCATTCGTTGCTTCTATTAAACCTGTTAGGAAATAATTCAGAGATAATTGGATAATTGACAGCTAGTTGGGTATAATTTTTGTCAATGCACAAATGTGCACAAGAAAGGTTTTAGGAAGATTTTTTTTCCACATTTCCTAGACTTGGTCGAGATCTAGAGGTGAAAAGGAGGAGGGTTTGCAAACGCTACGACGTTTATCTCCATTCAGAACAATCGCTTCTGCCCGATCACGATTTTCTGTACTATAAAATATTTTAAGGAAAAGGTACCTTTCTAAAAAAAAATAAATTTCCAACACGCATTTTTACAAGTCGCACAGAATCTTGTAGGAATGTTGTGAACTTCGTAATGGTGCACGGCGCCATTGAAGAAGTGTCACTTCTAGTATCACTGATGATCACTGCTGCAACAGATACAAGATATTCAGGATTTATTTATATATAAATAATTGAAATAATGAAGGAGAATTTAAAGTTCCCATATTAATAAATATTTACGGAGTTTAACTTAAGGGGAAGAAGGACCTTTAGCTGAAAAATTACTTGTCATTCATTTTTTTTTTTATATTTTGTATATTTCTTATTAAGACCGTTCACGGTAGCTCAGTCGGTAGAGCGCTCGCTTCGTGATCGGGAGGTCGTGAGTTCGAATCTCGGCCGCGACAGACCTAAGTCGATAAAAAATAGGTAGCAACTGTTCCTTCGCCATGCGCTCGGCACTTTGAAGTGAAAGTTGCGGGTCTTTCGGATGAGACCTTAAAAACCGAGGCCCCGTGTCACGGCAGGCGTTGGCACGATAAAGATCCCTCACTGCTCAATGGCCCTGAGTGCCGAGTAAAGGTCAAAATTTGAAGCCCTTCACCGGTATAAGGTGACGTCTCTATATGAGTGAAAAATTCTCGAATGGGACGTAAAACAATATACAATCAATCAATCAATTTCTTATTAAGTATGTCCCACATATCTTAAAGCAGTTATATCATTAGGTTTCTTACCTAATTTAAGAGATATTGATTGACAAATATAATGCCCTAGAGTGCCTAAGTGGAGTTTTAATCCTCCATATTTCCGGGCTCATTACTCTGTCCATAATTGGATTTTTAAAGCATATATAAAAAATATGTAAGTGAACATGTATCTTTTAAAATATTTCAGAGTATGAATTGGGTTTAAAATTCGAAAAAGCAAGTTTCATCTATAACACTGCATCTGGATAGGGAAAATTACGAACTTTTTAAGACAACTTAAACAACAAAAAACGTAATTTACAAAAAATCCTATCATTCAATATTTTTAAATTTACGTTGAAATGCAAGTCCTTCAAATTATTGACTAACTGTAAAAATTTCGAATGATGAAGCTGACCTCAATATTGCATAGGACATCGTTAAAGACGACATAAGCAGGACAAAAACTTGTCATGTTTACATTTCTCGAGTACGGGAAAAACCAACTATGACGTCACACGTAAGCTAAATAAGCGAAATAAGATATACCTACATAAGATTTCCGTCATCAGCCATGCAAAAATAATTTTTGTGTTCCCCGTTTCTCAAAATACTTCATCATATACTGATTATGACCTGTTTTTACATAATAATACCGCCCTTGTATTCACCGAGTATGATCTTGCTGTACTAGCAAATCGTGTATGACGTCACTGACTTGTTGGACGCGCAGTTTAAAGAAACAGAGGAGTGGATCAATCTTTTTTCATAATTTGTTAATGTTTACAAGAATGTTAAACTATTTATTTTTTTAAAATGAGATGGTAATTAAAGAAAAAAAAATGTCAAAAATTTATACAAGAACTGATGCTTTATACGTTTTGCACTTATATAAATGGAGACTATGACGTAGTTTAACAGTCATGTGACCATGTGTCATTCATGCCCTTAAATTATTCGTTCTAATCAGTAAAAGTCCTGAGTTGTAAACGGCTTTGTCTTCGGCGACCTCTCCAATTGTCGGCATATTTTCTTGGTTATTTCTCTCTGCTAGACATTCATACATAAAACATTGACCGTCCATAACCAAAGGAATATGGCCGATGTCTAAATTTCAACCAGCCATATTGTGAAGTCTATTTATTTAACGTAAAAATCTATTCAATATATTTTTTCTTACGATAAGCTTTACGAGTTCTAATTGACCATTGACACCTATGACGTTTCAGTACAATATGACCCCTATCTAATTAGTGGAGATTTTTACTTCGAAAACCCTATGTTACAGGCGTTTTTATCGTCTAATTACGACGGTTTTCAAAATTATTTCAAAATTTAACGATAATTATATGTTTCAGGAATATAATAGTGTTTCATTTGAAAGAAATTTCAATACGTGATAAAAACTCTTTAAGCATTTAATCTAAAAATCCTTTTTTGTTTTTAACTATAAAACAGAGAAAAGAGCAGTTAGATGTTAAGCAAATTGGCATAATTATATACTTTTATTTGTCAATGAAATTTTTATAGATCTAATTTCTCAATTTCAATACAGAGATATGTTTATGTAGCATGAAAATAAGAATGCCTTTAAAGGAAAATATGCGATTTAGCAATAATAAATCCTTAGCAAGCTGTTTTACACATTTCTAGGAGCATATTTTGAATCATGATATATTCCCTGTAGTGAAAACTGATTTGCTCAATCGTCTTGCAGATATTAAATAATCATACTATAAATGCAAAATTTGCAGCTCTCCACCGGCAAGTGGTGGCGTCTTCATATGAGTGAAAAATGAGGAAGTTAAATAACAAACAAACAAACATTATAACAGCTGCATTTTCTAAAATAAAATCGCCATCAGAAAAAAAAACACAACAAAAATATATCATCTTCTTAATTAAAGAACATGATGCTATAAATTTCATGCAAACAAAACCGAACAGGAAGAATTGGCATGCATACTTACAGATTGGCGACATACCATTTTCAAAAAATAAGAGTTCTTCCTGTCCTATATTCTGATCTTGCAAGTGTACCCTAAGAGTCATTTTTAAACAAAAAAACCTAAATCAAATTCCCTTCAACTACTTATTTGTAATAGTTGAAAACACAGAACATTTTAGATAAGAATTGCATTGGTATACCAATATATAAAACATAGATACAATGGTAGCAAAATAAGAATAAATGGTAAATGTAAATATATGTAGGTACATATACTAAGCGGTAACAATGAACAACGACACGGACAAGATTGTCAAAAACAACTAGCAC